CTCCTGAAGGGGCTTGATTTCCAACATTTCCTTCACCTCCACTAGGTGTTCTTTTTTTTTGACTTGATTTTGAAACCGGAGCTTTAGAAGAAGAAACTGCTGTTTTTTTCATTACAATTATATTTAATTAAATTAATATTTATTTTATAGTATATATATTTATAGAAATATGAAATTCATAATATATTAAAAAATATTATTATTTTAATTATGTTATTATTATTATTATTATTATTATTATTATTATAAGAATTATAGAAATTTAAAATAAATTTATTTCGTTCTCTTTATTAATAAAAATTTATTTATGTTGTTTGTTGTTATTGAAATAAATTAAATTTAATTACTAAATAAAAATTAATTTAATTTTTTACAAAAAAAATTTACAAAATAAAAACTATAATTTTATCTTCTATATAATAAATTTTTAAATATACAATAATTGAATTTGAGAAAATAATTACAACTTGTCTTAAAATATTTATTGAGTTTATATTTACAAAGGTTTTATCAAATATTTATTTACTTTTATTATTATAAAATAACTTTATATTAATAAATATTATAATACTATTAGAATATAAAATATATTATATTTATTTTCGTATTTTAATATTATATAGGGTTAGAGTTTAATAGTTATTCAAAATCTTTTTTATTATTAGTTTATCAAAGGTTAGAATAATAATTTTAATTTTATTAACTTTAAAATCTACTCATTATAATTACACTTATATACAGAATAAAATATACAAAAAAGTTTTAAATTTTAAACATTCTGATTATTTTTTATAATAAAATAATTTTAATAATGTGTTATATATATAATTAATAATTTCTTTAATAATTTCTTTATATTACTCAAATAAAAGATTTAATAATATTAGATATATAAAATTAAATAAAAAAATGATTTTTATTAATAAAAGTAAATAAAATTGAATTATAAAGTTCACAATAAATAAGCAATAGGTTATTAGAAATGAATAATAAATTATATATATGCTTTTTTATTTTTACTGTGCAATTACAGCTTTTTAAATATAAAGAGTTGCTATTTTTCAATTAAAATTAATTTAATAATTTTTTAAATAATGATTATTGATTATAAAAGTTATAAATATATGTTTTAAAATATATATACAATTTAATAACTAATTTTAAAGTTAAATTTAATTTATTATAATGAACTTTTTTTCATATTTACAGAATTCTTTCAATGGGATACTATATTTTATTTTTTTATTTTTATAAAATGTATATGCCATTATCACATAATTATTACATATTCCTATTTGGTTTTCTAATTTTTTTATTCACGCAAAATTTGCTATAATAAATCTAATTATAAATTAAACTATTCATATTTTATATTTAGATTTTAATATAGCCAATAAATTTATTATAAATTCCTTGAATAAATTATTCTTGTTAAGTTCTTGTTAAACTATATAATTGAAATATAAGGATTAATGAATGTTAAAAAAATAAAATAAGATAAAACTATAAAACCATCTATAGTAAAATAAAATTTTATTTATTTATTTATAATCTGATTTCATATTCAATGTTTATATATACATTTTATAGTTTTATAATTACTTTTTTATTTTTTTTTGTTATAATCTGTTAAATTTTATTAAATTTTAAATAACATAATACTATAATGAACATTCATATATATAATTATGATTGTTATTCAACATCAAAAAAAAAAAAAACAAAAAAAAAAACAACTTTTATAATTACTAATTATTATACTTTTAATAAATTCTTAAAATTAAAAAAATATTTAATCTATTGGAAACATTTTAACATTTTAATTTTCAATTACATCAAAAGAAAATTGTCAATTACATATTAATTATATTTATATCATTTGCTTTAAATCATTTAAAGCATAATAGTTATAATAATTGCATTTTCGTTTGATTTATATCATAAATTTTTTAATTATGATTATTTATTATAACAAAAGTATTATTATTATTATTATTAAATATTTTATTTTAGATATTTAAAAAAAATCTTAAAGATTTTTCCACTGTTGTAACTTTATTATTTAATAAAGTGTTAATTTGAAGTTTGCTACAACACTTACATTTTATAATTTTTTTTATTTTACTTAACGAGTTTTTTCTAATTATTCAATTTTTTTCTTTTACTTTTTTTATTAACATTAACCTTCATTTTATTACTATTAAACTGTCTTTAGTTTGAAATTGTTTTTTAATATACATAATATACACATACAGTATTCTATACTTTTTATTTATGAATTAAATAATTCAAATATTTTTTTTTTTTTACTTCCCCTCTTTTTTTTTTTATTTATTTTTTTTTTTTTGTTATATTGTAATAATTTTGAAATTTTAATTATACAATATATTAATTAACTATTTTGAACTTTACCATTTATTTTTAAAGTAGTTTGAACAATAAAATATTAAATAAAAAAAAGTATTAGTTATATATATATTTAAGTATATTTGCAAATATTGCAAATATGTATTACCTATTCAATTAAACTTAATCTACATTTAAACAGTACAAATTGTAGTACGTAGTTCTATATATAGAATATATAAAAATATATATATATAAAATATACATAAATTATAATAACTTTAATACTCTTATTTAAATTGGAAAAATAGATGTAAATATAATATATGTAATAATTAATTAACAATATATTATGATCATTGTTATTTATTTATAAAGGTCTAATTTCATTTATTTAATATATATAATTAATATTAAAGTTTGTTATTTATATATTAGTAGTCAAAATATATAATAAATACAATATATTATAACATATATTCATATTTAATTCTCCATATTTTTTTAAATTGAATTAATGAAATTATTGGCTCGAAAAAAAGTTAAATATATGTTAAATTATATGTTAAATAGGTTTTTTCCATCAAATATTAAAAATAGAAATATGATTGGAATTTTATTTTAATTTAGCCAATCATATTTTATGAGTTTAAAAATCAAATATTGGCGTATATAGAAATTAATGTAACGAAAAACTCATATAAAAGCAAAAAAATCACCCAAGGATTAAAAATCACACTCTTAATTTAGTTTAATACTTAAATAACTAATTAAATTTAATAAATAAAATGGGTAAGGAAAAGACTCACGTTAACGTTGTCGTTATTGGTCACGTCGATTCTGGTAAGTCTACCACTACCGGTCACTTAATTTACAAGTGCGGTGGTATCGACAAGCGTACCATTGAAAAGTTCGAAAAGGAATCTGCTGATCTTGGTAAGGGTTCCTTCAAGTACGCCTGGGTTCTTGATAAACTTAAGGCTGAACGTGAAAGAGGTATTACCATTGATATTGCCCTCTGGAAGTTCGAAACTCCAAAGTACTACGTTACCGTTATTGATGCCCCAGGTCACCGTGACTTCATCAAGAACATGATTACTGGTACTTCTCAAGCCGATTGTGCTATTCTTATTATTGCTGCCGGTACTGGTGAATTCGAAGCTGGTATCTCCAAGGATGGTCAAACTCGTGAACACGCTCTTCTTGCCTACACTCTTGGTGTCCGTCAAATCATTGTTGCTGTTAACAAGATGGATACTGCCAAGTGGTCCGAATCCCGTTTCAAGGAAATCGTTAAGGAAGTTTCCTCCTTCCTTAAGAAGACTGGTTACAACCCAAAGACTGTTCCATTCGTTCCAATTTCCGGATGGCACGGTGATAACATGATTGAAGCCACTACCAACATGCCATGGTACAAGGGATGGAACAAGGAAACCAAGGCCGGTTCCTTCACTGGTAAGACTTTATTAGAAGCTATTGACTCCGTCGAACCACCAGCTCGTCCAGTCGATAAGCCACTCCGTCTTCCACTTCAAGATGTCTACAAGATCGGTGGTATTGGTACTGTTCCAGTCGGTCGTGTTGAAACTGGTGTCATCAAGCCAGGTATGGTTGTTACTTTCGCTCCAACTGGTGTTACCACTGAAGTTAAGTCTGTTGAAATGCACCACGAATCCCTTGCTGAAGGTGTTCCAGGTGATAACGTCGGTTTCAACGTTAAGAACGTTTCCGTTAAGGAAATCCGTCGTGGTAACGTCTGCTCTGACTCCAAGAGAGACCCAGCCAAGGAAGCTGCTTCCTTCACTGCTCAAGTTATCGTCATTAACCACCCAGGTCAAATTGCCAACGGTTACTCTCCAGTTCTCGATTGTCACACTGCTCACATTGCTTGCAGATTCGCTGAAATTCAACAAAAGATGGACCGTCGTTCTGGTAAGGTTCTTGAAGAAAACCCAAAGTTCATCAAGTCTGGTGATGCCGCTATGGTTAAGTTAATTCCATCCAAGCCACTCTGTGTCGAAACCTTCGTCGAATACCCACCACTCGGTCGTTTCGCCGTTCGTGATATGAGACAAACCGTCGCTGTCGGTGTTATCAAGGCTGTCGAAAAGGTTGACAAGTCTGCCGCTGGTAAGAAGAAGTAAATTGCTTAATTGTTAAATTTATCAACTTTAACCCCAACAAAATAATTTGTTTGCCCATTTTAAATGAAATAAGTAAAAAAATTTTGAATGAAATTTTTTTAATTAGTTTATTTAAAAGTTAAATAATAGAAAAATGAAATTAATCTACAAACAAAACAAAATATATAATAATATATATGTGTGTCTTTTCCAAAAAAAACTCTATAAAATTAAAATGAGAAAAAATTAAAAACATTAAAAAAAACAAAAAATCAAACAAATACAAATTTTTGAAAAATAAAATTTATATTTAAAACAAAATATTGAATTCTTTGTTTTTTTATTTTGTGTGTAAAATTAATATATATACATATAATTATTAATTTATTTGTATAATTGGTGTGGTGTATTATTTGAATATTCATTTCTTTAATTATTTGATATATAACTTTAAAAATAATATAATTTAAAAGTAAATGATAGAAATGTATAAAGTATTTGTAATATTTGCTATTTAATTGTAAGTAAGCTGGGGATATAACTCAGTGGTAGAGTGCTTGCTTTGCATGCAAGAAGCCTCGGGTTCGATCCCCGATATCTCCACTATTTTTATTATTGCTAATAATAGCAACATCCAAGAGTGTCAATGCTGAAGAAACAGTAAGACAGGCCAGGAGGGCCAGCGCATACCTCTTGGGAACGTGCCTTCATTTATTTAATAAATGTAGTTTCTCAAGGGGGTCTACTCATGCTCATGGTACTGAGAGAGTAGAAAGAATTAAATCCAAGTATTGCGCAATGGATGCTTGGTGCCCTCTTAGGAATGTGCCTTCATTTATTTAATAAATGTAATTTCTCAAGGGGGTCTACTCATGCTCATGGTACTGAGAGAGTAGAAAGAATTAAATCCAAGCATTGCGCAATGGATGCTTGGTTAGTCTTCAAGGGAAAATTATTAGGACTAAGCTCATGGTACTGAGCGATTAAAAAACATTTTATTCATCAAATTTAAGTATTTGATGAGTAAGTGAATGTTTGATTTTTTAGGTAAGTTTGTATAGTATTTAATTAGAAGAGTAATACATTTTGTTGCTGTATTTTTTCTTTTATTCATGTATTCATGTAGTACTACTCTTCTCTTGTAAGAATCCAATGTAGTCAACTTTAGCATTTGCATTGTACTTTTATATTCATGTAGCTATTGTTGTATTGTTTCTTGTAAGAGACTGATTCACTCTACATCATGTAAAAATACTATTCACAAGCTTTCTGGTGTCGACATTCTTGATTCAAATTTTTTACCAATTTAAATATTTAATGAAAAGTAAAGTCAAACAAGTTTAGTGTCAAAAAGCGAATCGAATTTACTAACAACAAACCAAAACTAGAATTTTTAAAGAAAATTTACAACTAGAATTCAAAAAATAAGAAACTTTAAACAAAGCATCGTAACAATTTTTGTACTATCCAGTACTTTTAAGAAGAGAGAGAGAGACAGATTTTTTTCCATATACGTTATATTTGTAATTTTTATTAGTATTTATTTTATATTCAATATTTTTTAATTAGAATTTATTATCATGTCAGTCCTTTATATTAAAGATAAGAATTATATCAGACGTGGTACCCGGTCTTATGGTATCCCCTTAGATGATATTCGCTCCTTCTTTATCCGTGGTATTCGATCATGGTCAGTAAATATGCTATGGGAAAAACTCGAGGTTATTCTAGAAGATAAATTTAATTCAGTTATTAGTGTTAAATATTTTCAAACTTTCAATGATCACTTTTTCTTAGTCAAGGTTCATGGTTCATCAAAAGATTGTATTAAAATCTTACACATGTTAAAGAAGAAACTTTCAGTTACCTCAATTTCCTTTTCAGCTCGTAGTAGAAGGAATCACAAATACACTTTTTCCACTCTCAAACGTAAAATTTTAGTTTCTAATAAACATCAACATTCTATTCAACAATCATTTCAACAATCAGTTCAACAATCAGTTCAACAATCTCATCAACAATCCGATCTTCAACGAGATCTTCAACAGGATCTTCAACAAGTTTCCCATCATGAAAATATTCCAGATCTACAGCAAACACAATTTCAATCTCAACATTCAACAATTAATTCTAATAGTTCTATCAACTCTGATAACAGTTCAATAGTTGATAGTTCTTCAGTTTCACAGCCATCTAGTAATAGTTCTACTTATTCCTCTGATGCATCATCCATTAATAACGATGACTTTAATAATAATAATAATAGCAACGATTCTTCCTCATCCAACAAGCCTGATACCCTCTTGGGAACGTGCCTTCATTTATTTAATAAATGTAGTTTCTCAAGGGGGTCTACTCATGCTCATGGTACTGAGAGAGTAGAAAGAATTAAATCCAAGTATTGCGCAATGGATGCTTGGTGCCCTCTTAGGAACGTGCCTTCATTTATTTAATAAATGTAATTTCTCAAGGGGGTCTACTCATGCTCATGGTACTGAGAGAGTAGAAAGAATTAAATCCAAGCATTGCGCAATGGATGCTTGGTTAGTCTTCAAGGGAAAATTATTAGGACTAAGCTCATGGTACTGAGCGATTAAAAAACATTTTATTCATCGAATTTAAGTATTTGATGAATAAGTTGAATGTTTGATACTCAGGTAAGTTTGTATAGTATTTAATTAGAAGAGTAATACATTTTGTTGCTGTATTTTTTTCTTTTATTCATGTATTCATGTAGTACTACTCTTCTCTTGTAAGAATCCAATGTAGTCAACTTTAGCATTTGCATTGTATTTTTATATTCATGTAGCTATTGTTGTATTGTTTCTTGTAAGAGACTGATTCACTCTACATCATGTAAAAATACTATTCACAAGCTTTCTGGTGTCGACATTCTTGATTCAAATTTTTTACCAATTTAAATATTTAATGAAAAGTAAGTCAAACAATTTTAGTGTCAAAAAGCGAATCGAATTTACTAACAACAAACCAAAACTAGAATTTTTAAAGAAAATTTACAACTAGAATTCAAAAAAAAAGAAACTTTAAACAAAGCATCGTAACAATTTTTGTTCTATCCAGTACTTTTAAGAAGAGAGAGAGAGACAGATTTTTTTTCCATATACGTTATATTTATAATTTTTATTAGTATTTATTTTATATTCAATATTTTTAATTAGAATTTATTATCATGTCAGTCCTTTATATTAAAGACAAGAATTATATCAGACGTGGTACCCGGTCTTATGGTATCCCCTTAGATGATATTCGCTCCTTCTTTATCCGTGGTATTCGATCATGGTCAGTAAATATGCTATGGGAAAAACTCGAGGTTATTCTAGAAGATAAATTTAATTCAGTTATTAGTGTTAAATATTTTCAGACTTTCAATGATCACTTTTTCTTAGTCAAGGTTCATGGTTCATCAAAAGATTGTATTAAAATCTTACACATGTTAAAGAAGAAACTTTCAGTTACCTCAATTTCCTTTTCAGCTCGTAGTAGAAGGAATCACAAATACACTTTTTCCACTCTCAAACGTAAAATTTTAGTTTCTAATAAACATCAACATTCTATTCAACAATCATTTCAACAATCAGTTCAACAATCTCATCAACAATCCGATCTTCAACAAGATCTTCAACAAGATCTTCAACAAGTTTCCCATCATGAAAATATTCCAGATCTACAGCAAACACAATTTCAATCTCAACATTCAACAATTAATTCTAATAGTTCTATCAACTCTGATAACAGTTCAATAGTTGATAGTTCTTCAGTTTCACAGCCATCTAGTAATAGTTCTACTTATTCCTCTGATGCATCATCCATTAATAACGATGACTTTAATTATAATAATAATAGCAACGATTCTTCCTCATCCAACAAGCCTGATAACTTTTCTTTTTGTCTTAGTTGGAACACCAATGGGTGGAATCACGAAAAGAGAGATAGTATTAGCTATTTCACTGCTATTTTCAAACCATTATTTTTATGTTTCCAAGAAACTGGTAATGGTTCTGGATCGAATACAGATTATCCTTGTCGTGTTACTTTGCGAAACTATAGACACTTTTTCAAGAAAGCTGACGAATCAGTTCCGGGAATGAGAGGTTTATATTTAGGTTTTCACAATTCATGTCAAGCCTCACTTGAAAACTTCTCTGGAAAGTATATTATTTCTATTTATACTTTTAGTCTCTGGAATAGATTCAAATGCTCGATTGGAAATGTTTATATGCCTCATAGTCATCACAACATCTATGTTGATCATGCAAAGTTAGAAGTTCGCTTGTGGTTACAAACTCATTCATCCCATCCATCGATTCTTGTTGGTGATTTTAATATGTCTAAAGTAAAATTATCCAACTGGTTATCAACTAATGGATTAGGAGATTGGGAAATTCTTCCGCTTAGAGGGTCGACTATCTCTTGGACTCGAGGTGATCAATCTTCCGACATTGACCATGCTCTTATCAATTCGAAGATGAAAGATCTTATTCACTCAGGATCATTTATAAATAATTTTTATCCTGTATCAGACCATAAGCCACTTCTTATTAATGGTAAAATTATTCCTATGGAAGATTTTTCTAATGACTTTAATGTTCCTAAGAAAATTCTGAAATGGAATAGATTAAAATGTATTGAAGAAAAGGAATCTATTCTCAGTCATAATAAATTCCAAATACTTTCAGCAAAATTCAACGATCCTAATGTTTCTACAGATGAACTTTCCAAAGAGTTTACTTCAACTGCTTTTTCAATTGCAGACGAGCTCAGTATTACCTCAGCAAATAATGTTATAAAGTCTTCATTTCATATTTCACAACAAATTTTTAATCTTCAAAAAATCAAAATGAAGTTGTATAAGAGATTTAAAAAAGAAAGAATTTATGATATAGATGAATTTATTAAAAGAATTAAAATCTACCGTAAGCTCATTGATTACATCCACAAAAGATGTAATGAATTTAGGAAACAAGAATATCTTCATTGGATTAAAACAGGATGTGAGTATATGAAGAGTCATAATCCTAAGAAGGCCTGGAAATGGATCAAGAAAACTGCAAAAATAGGAAAAGATTCTTTCTTTATTGCTCAACCAATTAAAAATAAAAATGGAGAATTAGTTGTTGCTACGGAAGAACAACTAGATGTGTGGCATGATCATTTCGAAAATCTTGCATCAGATCCAAGTGGTGTAAGTCTTGATTTGGAGCATTGGTATGAAGAACCAATGAATAAACGTTTTTCACTTCCTATGCTTGATGAGTGGGATATCAACCAAGATATTAGTATTGATGAAGTCAAGTCAGCTATCCTCTCTACTCCAAATTATAAAGCATCAGGTCCGGATGGTATTCCAATTGAATTTTACAAAGCATTAATTCCATCAAGTAATGATTCTAATAATGCTACAGATAATAATTCTTCTGGTAATACTACTTCAGATAATGATGCTCATGGTTTAAATTTTATTCTTAAATTATTTAACCGTATTTGGGATGGAGATTTCCCCAACTCATGGAATGAATCCAGTATTGTTTCTATTCCTAAGAAGGGAGATTTGACAGATTGTGATAACTATCGAGGTATATCAC